TGTACATCATCTGACTATAGCATTAGATTATAATTGTAAAAGCCTCTGGTATTATTAATAGACCCTATTGTTATAAAGGTCTTGCCAACTATAAACTTTCTCAGCAAATTAATAGGCGATGTAAATAATATTCAATACTTCTATAATATCCTATGGGCTGGGAAGGAAACTGAGCCGATTGGACCCAATTACTCGTTAATTGCTATCCCTACCCAATATTCCAGCAACATGAAGGATTAGCAGTGAACAATTCTACTAATTAGCATTTCATCCAACAACTTTATGAAATAATACTACTGATTAGCATTCCAGCAACAAGAAATAGATAAAATAAGGAGAAACGAAGCATAAGACGGTACCAAATAACATACAACAGACATATGAGGATAGATGTTTATAACACGTTAGTCTACTGAATATGAACCGTCTCATACATCAACATGCAATAAACTTATAAAATAAAATTATCATATTGTAAAGAACTACAAGTAGCACTTGCTAAAAGAAAAGAGCTAAACATAATAACAAACTGTGCATCTTAAAAGTCTTTTAAGTTTTCTGATTATTTTAGTTAATTATCATACTATAATTTGGATGGTCAGCATTGACGTGTAGTGCGAGCCTCGTAGAAAATCAAAGATCAAGTGGTGACCTCAATTGTTTATATAACTTATTGACTTGTTATCATACAATATCATCTTAGAAATTATGAATAAAGGTTATAAACAACTACTAAAAAGATCGAAAATAGTAGAACAAATTACTAGTGATCAGGTGACATAAAACTACCCAGAAAGAGATGTCAGGTGCAAAACTCAAAACTTCGAACAAGATGAGATGAGATTAACAATAATTTTGACTTTACATGCCATAATAGCAATTAACAAAGAAATAATAAATAAATAAGCAAAACTTCAAATAGGCCTCAACAGTGAATAACAAGAGACATAGTACATGCCAAAATCTCCTTTCAAACTTTCATGTAACTGGCCCAGTGATTAACACCTAAACTACTCAAAACATATTTGCTACAAAATTTATCAGTATCTACTCAATATGCTACTCAAACAAATATATACTTAGCCAACACCTCATACTTCACACACAACGACATGCAAGTATTAATTAGACAAAATTTTAGGATTGAGACACATGCCAAAATCTCCTTTCAAGTTGCATGGATCGGAGAAATCCGCTGAGAGGATCGCTTCTGTTTTAACCCTCTGATCACTAGGTCATGTCTTTAATCCAGATGAAGAGGAAATACATGAGCTAGCTATGAATTAATTATTCTTTTAGGTTCTTCTGATATTAACCTTTTAAATCTTTAGTATCTTGAAGTAGCCCCCTTAAATCACTGAAATTATCAAGAGGTCTCAGATTCATACATCTCGGCTATTACTTTTGACTGGAGAAATTAATTTGAAGAAGAATTGGGATATTAATAGAAATTTTAATAATATAATGACTAATTTTCAAACAACTTATAAGAATCAAGGGATCTAGTCTTAGTTTCAAGAAGTTCAAAAATGCTGTGAAATATTCTAAGAAAAGACCAAAATAATACTTCTGATAGGAGAAATTAGAGAGCTTGCATAGAAATTAGAGAGCTTGAGAGAAAGAGAGATTGAGGGAGGAGAGAGTACCTTGAGAGAGTGAAAGAGAGAGGGAGGCAGCGACTCGTCAATACCTTGAGAGAGTGAAAGAGAGAGGGAGGCAGCGGCTCGTCGGTAGGCGCGACGGGAGAACAGCGATGTTCTCATGTGAGGCGGCGCGAGGGTCAGGCGCCTGTGAGAGAAATGGAAAGGGGGAGAGGTTGCTGGGATGAAGAGATAGAGAGGGAGGAGGAAAATAGGAAAGTGAGAGAGCGGGGAAATGGGAATTGAGAGAGGGACTCTCGGGGCGGTTCTGGCGGTGCCGCAAATTTTTTGGGCACGCCCGTGCCTAATTTTTTTCCCAACTATCTTTTTTAGCGACGGCACTTCTGTTGATAAAATTCCATTGGTACAATAATGGCGACAGACATTTTCCGTCGCTAAACATGATTTTTCCGTCGACAAAATTAGTTTTCCGACGGAATAATAACAACGGAAATTTTCGTCGCTATAACATGACTTATAGCGACGAAAATTTTCATCGCCACAAGGCCGTCGGCAAAACCCGGTATTCTAGCAGTATACTTCACAAAGGAAGTAATCGCTGAAGTGATATTCTTGACCAAACGAGATTACGACTCTTCTCGAGATTAAGTCCAAGTCTGATCTCAAGTAATGGGGAATGGGGCTTCAGATCTTTCAAAATCCACTCTTTATGAACATGATATTGCCAAGGTCTAGCTAGCCTCTTCTGAAATTCGTGGGGGTTGACTCACAAAACTAGCAGCACCTCGCCCTCTTGATTAAAATTCGCCCCCCTTGTGAATGGGGCTCTAGGTTTATATTTATAGGGCCTTAGATGCGGTTATTTGGATGAGAATGATGGATTTGGTCATATCTTCAGTTAAAAATGGTTTAACCATATTTGGATATGATATCAAGTCAGTTGGGATGCTGTGGAATGAACAAATCCCGAGAAATATCAACAAAATTGTAAAAAAACGCGTTTTGGGTAGTTGGATGCACGATAGACCACGGTGTTCCGCGTGGGCGCGGGACAGTAAAGGTTGTCCCGGCCTTTGTGCGGGACAGCCAAGCTGTCCCGGCCTGGTTGCGGGATAGCCATGGCTGTCCCGGCTTTGGCCAGGTTAGCTGGCCTTGATGAGCTTTTTGGTACGGCTTGGCTGCCAGGGGGATTCTCTGGGTTGGTCTTGTTCCGTTGTTCCGTTATTTTGCCTATTTTGTTGAGTTGTACGCTTGGCCAACTTGCTTCATGCGCTAATTGGATTCTTTACGGTTTTAGATAATCCCGTTTGGACTTAGAAAATGACGTCCATTGTCTTCTCTTTGTCTCGAACTGCGTGTGAATACCTAGGTATTTTTAGACGCCTACAATCTCTAGGAGAAATTTTGTATTTATTTAAGATGAGTATATGATCATTCTGATTCTCCTTATCTTTCATGAATTGTAATAAATTATTTAAAAATAAATTAAGTTGTCATTTTATATTACTCACCTTCTTATAAGTTTATGAAGCTCATAGCTTAGATATGAGTATTATTGCAGATATTGTATTCTTCTAGCGCCTTTAGCTAAATTTTTGATGTTGTTTGACGTTAGATAGATATGAATTATTTTTTTAAAATACAATCAATATGAGTGCATAATATGTATAAGTTATTCTCAGACCATATTTATAATTTTCTGAAACTAGAGAGTAATCATTTTGATAAATCATTTAGTAATTAGGAAGATGTAAAAAGAGTACAACATTAGATTTTGGAATTGATCACATAATTTATATTTTCTTTCTTGATTGAATTTGCACATTCTAACTTAGAGAATTCTTAAAAAAAGTTCTGGAATATTTATAATACTCGGTCGCCGGATAAACAATAGGTGGAAGTAAACAATAGGTGAAAGTGATTTTTTCATAACTGAACAAAATTCTTACTAACTAGATAAAACCTACCATTTTTCTTTGATGAATTCAAGAATATATATTTTTATTAATAATTATAGGTTTTTTTTCGTATTGGTCCCTTACATCATTAATATTTTAAAATTATATTTTTAAATTACTAATTAATCTTAAATTATTAATATTTTAATGCTTTAAAGATCACTATTTTTTGGAAGATAAAATGTAAAAACCACACATGGAAATATCCAAAAAAAATTAATATATTATGATATTTATATAGGTTTTGGCAACCATGTTATAGTAAATAAATAAACTTAAAGTAAATAATTATGGTATTTGATCACGTGTAGTGCAGTACACGTGCATTCCACCTAGTATCTATTAAACAATAAGACAATTATAATTTGCAAAAATGATTTCTCCATTGCTTAACCGTGTTGCATATAAATTTGAAACCTGGCCCATGGATTAATATTGACACACGTAAATTTCAGACGAATATATAAATATTTACTTGAAATAGAAATGTTCTTTTTCTTTGAATAAATTAAGATACTCTCGATTCCATCATTCGATGTTTGATTTTGAAGAAAAAAAGTGGGACGACACAAATTGACTTACGTGTGTGAATGGACGCATGCTGTTGAGTGAATTCACAAGGAGCCGAAATTAAGGGTTTGTACTTATATTTTCCATTGGTTAAAGGTAATGAATTCTGGGGACAGGGACACTTGCCATATAATTATCTTAAGCTTAATTATTGAGTTTATTAGCAAAGAAAGATTTTCTTCGAGATTTTGCTCGAGTGTGGACTCTTGACAACTTGTTCTTAAACAAGTTTATTTTTTTTTAATTTTAAGAAAGAAACCATTTTTTTTTCAGTTGGGTTTAGATTAATGGTTTCATTTGTTAGGAATTACAAGAAGTAGATGAATGGTATCGTACGAGGACATGATTGAAACCAACTATAGATCAATTCTAGTGTTGACCACCAACACATGCATAGCAATCTACTTGGGTGAAATTAATAAATACAAGCTTCTGAAAGAACTTTAATTTCTTTCTGTACTTCTTTAAAAAATAAAAACAAAACTCTCTTTATTGATAATTCTTTGTGTTGGTTTACTAGTGAAGTTGTTAAATATAGTAAATATCTTGTAAAGGCAATGTATATTGTCAACCGTATAATTAGCCTCCTATTCTATAGCCTAAAATCATGTAAATCATTAGTTTCCTGATAGGTACCTGATATGTAGCGTATATCATTAGTTTCCTGATATGGAGCCTAAGATTATGCTACAATCTTGTGTATATATTCTGACGATTGATAATGAGAGAGGACACCAAGAAAACAATCTTTCATGGTATCAGAGCTGTAGGGTTTTCTTCTTCTCGATCTCTTTCCCCTGCGCTACTCTGATCTTTCCGCCCTTATTCTTCTTCTATTTTCTTCCCTGTCGTTTGTCTTTCTCCGGCAACGATGTCTCAATCTAAAAATTTTCACCCAGCTCTTGCTGTCTCCAACATTAGGAATCATGTTCCTATTATTCTCGAGATGGAAAACGTGCAATACTCAACATGGGCGGAGTTGTTCAAGGTTCATGCACGTTCGAACAAGGTTCTCCATCACATCATACCTCCTCCGGAAGACAAAGCGAAGGCCACGGTCGAGGAGGAGGATGCCGACATGTGGGCTACTCTTGATGCCACGGTCTTGTCGTGGATTTACGCCATGATATCTAATGACCTTCTACAAACCATACTTGAACCTGATGCTACGGCAATGGAGGCTTGGAACCGTTTACGTGACATTTTCCAAGACAATAAGCATTCCCGTGCGGTCACTCTTGAGCAGCATTTTTCAACCACCAAGATGGAAAATTACCCCAATGTCTCGGCATACTGTCAACGGCTAAAGTCCTTGGCCGATCAATTGAAGAACGTCGGGGCTCCGGTGTCTGAGAGTCGTTTGGTGCTTCAACTTGTCTCTGGTCTCACTACTCCGTACCGTGGTGTGGGTACAATGATCCGACAAAGTGATCCCCTCCCTCCTTTTTATCAAGCCAGGTCCATGCTTACTCTTGAGGAATCAGGCTTAGCTAAGGAGGCGGCAATGGCGTCCGATTCTGCTATGGTCGTTGCTCCGAATGAGGACGATGGCTCCCCCTTTGTTCCCTCTCATTCGGGACAGGGGAGGGTTCAACAACATTCTGGCCGAAAACAGCAACAGAATGGCCGAAAAAATTCAGGCGGCCGCGGCAATGGCAAGCAGAACAGGGGCGGCAATGGTGGTCGTTCCGGCAAGGCTGGCCCGCAAGGACGGCCACAGCAACAGAGTCCATTCTGGGGGTGGGGTCCGTTTCCTAACTGGGGGTGGTCTTCGTGGGCTACTCCCCCCTGCCCTATGCCTACCCAAGGATGGGCTCGCCCACCTACTGCCACCTTTGGGCCTGGGGTGTTGGGTCCACGACCCCCGCAACAAGCATATCAGGCTTTCACTGCTCCTGTGGCTCCTTCTGTCAATGGTCAGACTGGTTCATATGTGCCTACAGACATTGCATCGGCTATGCACACCATGACTCTAAATCCACCCGATCCTACTTGGTATATGGACACCGGCGCTACATCACATATGACCTCGTCAAATGGTAATCTCTCGTCTTATTTTAATTTGAGCAATCATAATTCTGGTATTATAGTCGGAAATGGTCATTCGATTCCGGTTAGTGGCTATGGTCATACATGTTTGCCCTCTCCTAATCCTCCCTTGTCATTAAAAAATGTTCTTCATGCTCCCAAAATAATCAAAAATCTAATTTCTGTTAGAAAATTCACGACTGATAATTCTGTTTCGGTTGAATTTGATCCTTTCGGTTATTCTGTGAAGGACTTTCAGACGGGGATGCCTCTACTGAGGTGTGATAGTCAGGGTGACCTATATCCTCTCAAATCTATCCACAATCAAACTACTCCATCACCCTTTGCAGCCATCTCTTCCTCACTTTGGCATGATCGACTGGGCCATCTGGGTGCTCCTGTGTTAGATGCTCTTCGGGTCAATAAAATCATTGAGTGTAATCGAAACACTAATTCGAGTCTTTGTCGTTCTTGTGTGTTCGGCAAACATATTAAGTTGCCTTTTTCTTCTTCTTCGTCGAGTACTTCTTTACCGTTTGATATTATTCATAGTGATATTTGGACTTCACCTATTCTGAGTTCTGCAGGGCATAGATATTACGTGTTATTTTTGGATGATTTTTCTAATTTTTTGTGGACAGTTCCTTTGGGTCACAAATCAGAAGTTTATGAGAAGTTTATGATTTTCCGGGCTCATATTGTTACCCAATTTGAACGTAATATCAAAACTATGCAATGTGATAATGGGAGGGAATTTGACAATGGACTTTTTTGGGATTTCTGTAAGGAAAATGGTATGTATTTCCGTCTTTCTTGTCCTCACACCTCTCCTCAAAATGGGAAGGCCGAACGGAAAATTCGGTCAATCAATAATATCACTCGTACTCTTCTCTCTCATGCATCCCTTCCCCCTTCCTTTTGGCATCATGCATTACAAATGGCAACATATCTTCTTAATATTCTTCCGAGCAAACTTTTGGGAAATAAGTCTCCTCTTCAAATTTTATATCAAAGGGTTCCCTCATATTCTCATCTTCGGGTTTTTGGGTGTCTATGTTATCCTCTTATTCCTTCCACTAAAATCCATAAATTGCAGCCTCGATCCACTCCTTGTGTCTTCTTGGGTTTTCCACCTAATCATCGTGGTTATAAATGCTATGATTTGTCATCCCGCCAAATTATCATAAGTCGTCATGTCATTTTTGATGAGCATGTCTTTCCCTTTGCATCACTGCATTCCCCTTCGTCATGTACATATGATTTTTTGGATAGTGGTCTCTCTTCTTATGTATTAGATCACCTTCAACAATCTGCTGCTCCTCTTCCCACATCGCCAGCCCAGGCCCACACTCCTCCCCAACCGGATCCACATCCGGTCTCCCCTGGCCCAGGCCCAGCAGCCCCCCCCTCCCCACGCACTCCTACTTCCGCATCTCCCATCTCTTCTACTACAATTCCTACTCCCCTTCATGCCTCACGCACGGCTCAACCTTCACCAGGCCCTGTCATCGCTCCTCCTTCCAATACTCCTCTTCCTAAGCCCACTATGGTCACCAGAAGTCAGCATGGTATTTCCAAACCCAACCCAAAATACCAAGCATTACACACCACAGTTTCGAAGTCCCCTTTGCCTCGAAACCCAATCGCTGCACTTCGTGACCCAAATTGGAAAATGGCCATGGATGATGAATATCATGCTCTTATGAAAAATAAGACGTGGGATTTGGTGCCCCGACCTCCTGGTGTTAATGTTATTCGGTCTATGTGGATTTGTACTCATAAATTTAAATCTAACGGTGATTTTGAGAGGCATAAAGCCCGTCTTGTAGGTGATGGGAAAACTCAACAAGTTGGCATTGATTGTGGGGAAACTTTTAGTCCGGTTGTCAAACCGGCAACTATTCACACTGTTCTCAGTCTTTCTCTTTCGAAGGCATGGCCAATTCATCAATTGGATGTCAAGAATGCCTTCCTTCATGGTGAGCTTCAAGAAACAGTATACATGCATCAACCAGTGGGGTATAGGGATCGTACCCATCCAAATTATGTTTGCCTCTTGCGTAAGTCTTTGTATGGGCTTAAGCAAGCTCCCAGAGCTTGGTATAAGCGCTTTGCTGATTATGTTACGTCTATTGGCTTCACTAATAGTCGGTGTGACAACTCACTGTTCATTTACAGCAAGGGGTCAGAAATGGCTTATATTTTATTATATGTTGATGACATTATTCTTACTGCTTCGTCTCATGCTCTCCGGTGCTCTATTATGGATCTTCTCAGTTCCGAATTTGCTATGAAGGATCTTGGTCCATTGAATTATTTTTTGGGCATTGCGGTGACTCGACATAAGGGTGGTATGTTCCTTTCTCAACGCAAATATGCCGAAGAAATAATTGAACGTGCCGGAATGACCTCTTGTAAATCATCGGCTACTCCGGTTGACACCAAATCCAAGATTAGTGCTACATCTAGTGCTCCCTTTGATGATCCTACTCTGTATCGGAGTCTAGCAGGGGCTCTACAATACCTCACCTTCACGAGGCCGGATATCTCGTATGCCGTCCAACAGATTTGTCTCCATATGCATGATCCACGGATGGACCATATGTCTGCTCTCAAACGGATTATTCGATATGTTCAGGGTACTTTAGATCATGGCCTACATTTGTATCCATCGTCTTTTTCCTGTCTGGTATCTTACACTGATGCCGATTGGGGTGGGTGCCCTGACACGAGGAGATCTACATCTGGTTATTGTGTATTTTTGGGGGACAACTTGGTCTCTTGGTCGTCTAAGCGTCAACCCACATTATCTCGTTCTAGTGCCGAGGCTGAGTATCGTGGGGTGGCGAATGTGGTTTCTGAGTCGTGTTGGCTTCGAAACCTTCTCTTAGAGTTGCATTGTCCGATTAAGACAGCTACTTTGGTGTATTGTGACAATGTCAGTGCTATTTATTTGTCGGGTAATCCAGTTCAACATCAACGTACAAAGCATATAGAATTGGAAATCCATTTTGTCCGAGAGAAGGTTGCACGAGGACATGTCCGCGTTCTCCATGTCCCCTCCCGTTATCAAATAGCCGATATTTTCACTAAGGGTTTGCCACGGGTGTTATTTGAAGATTTTCGGGACAGTCTCAGCGTTCGTAAACCTCCCGTTTCAACTGCGGGGGAGTGTTAAATATAGTAAATATCTTGTAAAGGCAATGTATATTGTCAACCGTATAATTAGCCTCCTATTCTATAGCCTAAAATCATGTAAATCATTAGTTTCCTGATAGGTACCTGATATGTAGCGTATATCATTAGTTTCCTGATATGGAGCCTAAGATTATGCTACAATCTTGTGTATATATTCTGACGATTGATAATGAGAGAGGACACCAAGAAAACAATCTTTCAGAAGTCCCACCGAAATTAGTGGGTAGATTACGCATATGGGTATAACCTAGTTAGACTAGATTATTATTTCTCTTTTACCCTATAAATAAGAAAAGGGTTACATGAAGGGATATAGAAAAAATACACGGTAAAACTCCTTAAAGTCACCATCTCTTTTCCTGTTCGAGTTCATGTTAACACGGTAATTGTAGGTTGACATGCGAAGGTTTCTTGCCGTATTAAATGTGTGGCCACCCTCCGGCTGTTTGATCAAAATGCACATGATGATTCTACATTAAAGATTAGTAAGGTAATTCCTAGACTATGATTTACAATTACTAGATGTATATGCTAGGAATTCTTTATTTTTAGTTGTGTACAATCTAGCTGTAGATTATCCTATTCCATGCATGTAGTCATCCGAATTTTACACCCTTATACATGAGTACATTTATTTACAAATAATAGAAGAATTTATACAGAAAGTCTAAATATTAGGTTGGCAATATGAAAAAGTATATATATATAAATAGATAAAATACTGAGTACATGAGATATGGATGAGATATGGAGTAATGAGAATATATATAAGAATATACAAAAATATATATTCTGCTTTATCAATGTTCCTTCCAACGCATGATGTACGAGCCTTGACAATGACCAACGACAACAATAATGTGCAACATGAGTCCAGGGGAATCGATGGAGAAAAGAAAAACCCAATAATTATAGAATTGGTTTCGTAATACTAGAAACAAGAGCAATTATATAGGATAACTCAATGTCGATGAGATTAACAAGGAATAGGAATTTTCGTACATCAATAGAGAAAATCTTTGTTGCACCGATATCAAATGGCGATGGATAGAAATCCTTGTACATTCATGGAGAAAATATTAGTGGTCAATAATGATGCATAAAGAGAAACTCTTATTGTGAATGATATTTCAATAGAGAATACTTGACATCGAGCGTGTGAGAAAGAAAAATCTTGAATTAAGAAAATAGACATAAGTCGATCCAAAATATCGAATGTGAAAGCAATATATTTTTCAGTGAGAGCTTGACATAAGAACCATATGTCATACCTCATGTCCCAGCTACAGATACGGGCATGCAACTCGACTGAGAGTATGTACATGAGAACTAGATCAAATGGGGCCTCATGCACATGCTTAAACTTCATCTGTCTAAACTGTTGTGGTAAAATAGTAATTATGTAGTTGAAGTGGGAAAAATGATAAAAATTAACTTCTAGTCAGACTGCCTCAAGTCAAGGTGATCCAACAATATATCACTGAGCACTTTGGACTTCTAATACTAAAACTTAATCACAAGGGTAACAATAT